GAATTATTGATGATAATGAAAATTATAAAATTTTTTTGTTATATTTTCTTGAAAAAGAAGAAGAAAATATGTATATTAAAATTGATGTAACTTTTAATATCGATATAAAAGATCATATTAATGAAATTTTTTTATTAACTTTTAAAAAATAAAATATCATTTAGATGTCTTTTGTTGTACCATTTCAATATAACCAAGATAAAAAACAAGAACTTCAACAATTAATTGATGATAGTATTATTGAATTCAATTATGATATTGATTGTAATAGTTTTACTAAAGATGTAGAAGAACATGAAAATGTAATTAATAGTTGGTTATCTACTTATGGTGGAATTACTGGTTTAAAGAAAAAAATTGAAAATATGTATACTTCTTCAAAACAAAAACTTTTTAAAAAAAGTGTTGGTATTACAGATATGGGTTCACATAAATTTAAAGTAGTTCTTTTGTGTTTTGATAAACCAAATGAAGATAATGAAAGACCATATGGTGAATTAATCGCAATACTTCATCTTAAATCAAATGATGTAGAAGCAAAGAAAAAAATTATAGCTAATACTGAAGAATTAGCTAGATTAATTCTTGCTCGTAGTAATGATACATATACTATTGAATAATTTTTAAATTTTTTTTTAAAGTTAGAAATTTTTTATTCTTAAATATTTATACAAATAAAATGAAATTTGAAAAAAAATACATTTTTTAAAATAATCATATTATAATATTTAAAAAATAAATTAATTTCATAATATAAAAATAAAAACTATTTATTTTTACGTCTTGGGCTTCTAACTACTCTTGAATGACGTCTTGAACTTTTTGCTATTCTTGGTTTTTTGATTCTTCCTCGTTTATTTTTTGAACCTGAAATTTTAACAACTCTTTGCTGCTATTGTTTATAATTTTTAGCAAAGCCTCTTAAATTTGATTGTATATTTTTTGTCTTTGGTTTATGAACAGGAAGGTAAGAAGGAGTTACACTTCGTCCTTGAAATTGCTACAAGTAAATACCACTAGGATAATTTTTTGTTAAACCTCCTCTCTTATTTAAAATTTGTTCATATCGTCCTTTCCAAATATTCTATGTATATAGTTTTGGTAAATATTGATCAACTTGAACATCTTGAATATATCGTTCAACTTGACATGATATAATTTGTACAAAAAGAAAAATGAAAAATAATTTAAATTTCATTTTTTTTTTAAAAAAAAAATACGTAATCTATTTATATTATTTTATTTATATTTTATACTATATTATTCTCTTATCATTACAATGTT